AGTGGCTCGGCCCGTCATATGCTCTGACAGAAAGGCTGCGTGTGCCGCTGACAGAGACATAGGCTACTCGCGCTGTTTAATGTATTTGAGATGTGCTATCTTCCTGAATGCATAACTTGCATTTCACAGGTATATTCTCCGTCTGTAAATGTTAGAAAGCCTTTTCTGTCAGAAGTGCATGAGCCTTCTGCTTTGGGATTTTCCGCTAAACTTCACAGACTTCAGTGAACGAGTGCCAAACAGACAGAGCTCAATTAAATATCAGCGCAAGAATTCTGACTAAAATATACATTTAGCTGAAATATTTATAGTTGGACAATAAATGTGACATGTAGAATTTTAAACCTACAAGTAAGTCTATTTTTATGATAGCACTGACTGTAAAGTGACAATCAAAATAGTCTTACACAACTCTGTGCTTTTGTTTTCATTTATTTTCATTTTTAGTTTAGTGAAATTAACTTTAAAAGCCTTATTTTTGTTTTTAGATTGAAATGTTACAATGTTAGAATGAAATGTGATTTTAACCCTTTTTTGCACATAGTATAAAGGCTTACATGGTTACATTCACTGTATTTTTTTTCATAGCCTTTAATATGTATTGTTTTGTTGGACAACATTGGGCAATAAGTGAAATATATATATTTAATACAGATTTTTTTTTAATCCAAATACAAAAACCGAGATATATACTGTATATCGAAAATGGCCAAAAAATACAGACATATGAATTTTTGCCCATATCGCCCAGCCCTACCGAAATGTAATCTGTGCGACCCCAAAATATATTTGGGAGCATTTGTGCGAGTGCACATAATTGTTGTGGTGCGACCAGTCTTCATTTCTTTGCTAAACGTTCACGAATTACTACACAGTATGTGCCTGCTGTGAGCCAATACAGTAACCGCTCCACCAATCTATCCAACGTTACATAACCAATTAAGCTTCATCTTTACATTCTTAACTTTAATGCATATTTTAGATTGGTTATATTAGCCGTCAATCACTCCCTTTTGCTGCACTCCACTGTGACGTGACAGGGAGCTAACTAGGAACCGACCGTTTTTTGTTTTATTTCAGCCAATGTCTGTTCCGGACTTGCACAAACTGCATTGAAATCAAAATGTCATTTGTGTGGAAATATTACGAAGTCTGTAAACGGCCGTTAACAGAAGCCAGAGACGCTGAAGAGGAACACAAAGAGGAGAAAATACTGTAGCAGGCAGAGCAAGATCACTGTTCAAGTTGCGCGAAATATTGGAAGAAAATCCTAAATACTGAATCGGGGGTTTATATGAATGTAGCCTATCTCTGAGGGGAACTGACTGTCTTCAGAAAAGAGTAGATGGTATTTTCTTTTCATCTTACCTCCATATAATGCATATTAATGTATTGTTTAAAAGTGCCGCGCTGCTTTGTTTACAGTTGTGATAACTGTAGATTGTGATAAACCGTGAAACCGCCAGAATCCCAAAAAAAACGTGATACATATTTTTGGTCAGCCCAGCACTACGGCCATCCTACAAGTGGACTTCTATGTCTAAAATGGAGCTATAATTTTGATGTGATAGCCTATACAAGTCTGATGTCCATAAATAATCAAGTTGTCGTGAACAGACACAGGCTCGCTGAGACCAGAAGGATACTGTTGCGCTTAAACATTTCCATGTAGCATACTCATTACTGCATTTATCTGTGTTTGTGTGGTATTGTTTTTCGACACCTTCATTATGTCCAACACTTAAATCAGATCTCCAAGTAACTTTTGATGAGATGGAAGGTCACCATTGATTAGAAGAGATCTTCAGAACCTCTGGTTGAATTGTAAATGAGCAATTTACCTCACCTGAAGTTCTTGGAATCCTATTTGCTGCATCAGCCCATCTACAATATGTGTAAATAACACATGAATGTGCTTATGTTGCTGTAGAAACCATTTTCAATTTGTTTTTTGAAAGTAGTCTTTTATGCTCACCAAAGCGGCACTTATTTGATCAAAAATACAGTAAAAACAGTAATATTGTGAAATATTATTACAATTTAAACTAATTGTTTTCTGTAATCTATTAATTTGTAAGGTAATCTGTTACAATTCTGTTATCTGCAATATAAGTTATTCCTGGGATGGCAAAGCTGAATTTTCAGCAGCCATTACTCCAGTCTTCAGTGTCAAACAATCTTTCAGAAATCATTCTAATATGCTGATTTGTTGCTCAGCATTTCTTTTTATTATCAATATTGAAAACAGTTTAATATTGTTGTGGAAACTGTGAAATCCTTATTTTCAGGATTCTTTGATGAATAGAAAGTTCAAAACAACAGCATTTATTTGAAGAGAAATTTGTATAACAGTGTAAAATTCTTTATTGAGATTTTTGACCAATTTAATGTTCCATTGCTGAACAAAAATATTAATTAAAAAAGTAGTGACCCCCAAGCTTTTATAGTGTAGGGTAATGGTATATAATGCGAGAAAAAAAAGTGTAAAATATTAAATATATTTAAGTGAAGCTTTGATACATTAAATTTTATATTTCTTTAAAAAAATATCAAGTTTAATGCATCATGACGAAATGAAAATGACATCGAAGCTTTTCTGAAGACGGTCGGTTCTTTTCAAAGATACATTCATATAAAAACACCCACGCTGCATTTTAATTTTGAAACGCGCAGTGCTCAGTTTATTCAACAAAGTATAAGCCTTTTGGAAAATCTATTTACTCAATGTATGGGAAACACTGGACACTGCTATAAGTCAAATTGCCAAGTGATAACAAAAATGAAAGAGTTCACACATATTACACAGCCCGCTGCTCATAACTGCTTAGAGTGCACTGGCCACAAGCGATGACATCGTGGATGCTATTGTCGGACCTACACACACATTTCATGAGGAAAGTTAACATGCACGTTATAATCAGCCTAGAAGTTTCGTCTGAACTGCATGTGTTTCTACTTTCACATGCAAATGACTTGTTGCACTTATGAATATGATAACTTTCCGGCATCAATTCTTGTAGGATAAAACGTAATTACACTTTTGAAATGGTCTGTTTTGCCCTGCCATCATTAGCTGAAGCTGTGTGTGAACAAGAAGCGGCTGCAGAGTGTGAGTTGCTCCGTCTCTCACGCAGCCAGAGAGAGATTCTCCGGCGTTCCGCAACAACGCTTAGCTGCCCGCAGATGTGCTTGCCTATAAATCGGCCTAATTTGCAGCACAATCGGCCGATACCGATGAATTAAAAAATGCAAAAATTCGGTCGACCTCTAGCATTGAGCATTGTAGCCAGTCACAGTCATATCTGTTGATTACATGAACGTAATTGCTAATCAGTGATGGTTAAATTATAATAATAGTTTTGTTTAGTGCTGCTGAGTTCTGCATGCTCAAGAAGTGCAGTGTAGAGCTTCTTTAATTAACGGAACTTTGAGATCGCAATGAACTAAGATGAATGATAGTTTTTTTTTGTGTGTGTGATTACGAGGGTAGTGCACTTTGCACGTTTTCTAGGCTAATCCATTTAGAATTTGAATGCATTCACTCATGGATTCACTCTCTCATTACCATTTATCCAATTTTGCCACTTGCCATTATGTTGCATTTACCAATTAAGTTAACTAAGTGAAAGTGGAGCAGGTGCTTGCTCAGCGAAATATATCTGTAGACACGTGTCTACATGCCCTGTAATTTAAATATATATAGCATATTTTTTTTCTTAATCATGCAGCAGACTGGTATTAATTGGTCAAAATTCCTATTTTAAACAGTCATTATGAGCGTCACTATTATGAACTGTAGTGTTTGTCACTGAATCTCAGTTCAGTGTGATAGTGCTGTTAGTTATTTGTGTAATTAACTGTTCTGTTTTGGCAGGTCTGCTGAAAGGGACCGGTTTGGCCGCTCCAGACCACGTCGATCCACCTCCAGAGAGCGTGAGAGGAGGAGGCGGCGGCGAAGTCGGGATGAAGACAAGTTCAAAGGCAGTCTGTCAGAGGGTATGAAAGCAGACAAAGACTCCTCCTCTGAAGAAGTGTGAGTAATAGTGCTATTTTCAAGGCTTGAACCTACTGAGGATGCATATGAATAGTGATGTCAAAAAAAGTTTGAATCTGTTGACTCAATAGTTATTAAAAAAATAAATAAATTGACTGATGGTGATACTGAGAACCAAGTCAGTTTGGTGGTACCTGCTCGCTGTCTGAAAGCTGACTGCTTTTGCATGATCACATATGTGTACATGCATATGTGAAGAAAGCTTGTGGCTGCACGGTTACAATGTCTCCTGGACATTTTCATCAAGAGAAATTGATTTGACTGACCGTGGGACTGGACCAAAAGCAAACAAAAAGCATATTCATGTCAAAATATATAGGCTTTGCTGCATTAACATTTTAAGAATTTATTGATAAACTAGTGATTTCTTTGTTTTCGGTTTAAGAGATTAAGTCGGCAACACTGACTAGTCATCTCTGCAGCACATTTCATTCGGATTACATAATCTGAGAATATTTGTTTTCCATTTGAATTGGTTCACTTGAGAGTAGACATTTCACTCTCTAAAGATATATTTTTCATGTCTGTAAGGCAAGTATAATGGCGCACCAGCGCCTCCATCTGTCATGCAGTGAGCACGCTACTGTTTACCTTTCACACTCCGCACAGACACTTGAATAGTGCACATTTTTCTAGGTTAATATTAGATTAAGCGGCCATGTAAAGTTGCTGCTACCAACATATTTCAGATGATAAGCCATATTTGAGGTTGATGAATGATAGGCAAACGTTTGGATGTCCTTCCCGATATACTGGATAACCACAAAGACCAGCCGTCACGGACTGCGTGGATTTAAAAAAAATAAAAATCTCTGCGACTAATAAAATTTTGGTAGACTAAGCCTCTTCTCGCCTATTTAACTATTATTTATTTATTATTTTAACTGTTATTTATTCTACAGGTACCTACAACAGCTAAATAAGCAAAACATACAAATATATTTATCAAGAAAATAAGTATAACAAATAATATGAAACGCATGACTAGGCATGGGCATTTTGAGATTTTGATGGTATGATAACCTTAAGCAAAAATATCACGGTACTGTCATTACAGCTCTAAAATGTGCTATTTTTAAATGACTGGGTAAAAAAAAAAACTTTTTTTTCCGCTGAACAAAATATTTTGTTTTTGAGCAACACAGAATATTAGGAACAGTAGAATTTGTTTCTTTTTTCTTTAATTTGTTTCCTAAAAAGAAGAAAAATAAAAACTGACATCTTTATTTAACCTAAATCTGTAATTACGGTTATTTAATTTTAGTTATATAATTCATATACATATCATTTATATCATTTGATATCATTTAGTTATATAATTTCATATACATAATTTTATTTAATAATAACCCAATTTGAAGCAAAAAACAGAATGTTCTGTTCTGACTAGCTTTGTGAAATTATACTACATGCCTGAACGAAGCAAACAGCAGAAGCTCTGAATGAGACGCAGATTCACTTTCTGACAGCAGGAGGCGCTTCTCAAACACCAGATACAGTGTTTCCTTGGTTACCGCTGTAAACAAAGCAGCTGAAACACTGCTTTAATATGAACTATACAGAGATGAGATTAAAAGAAAATACCACGTAAACTTTTCTGAAGACAGTCAGTTCCCCTCAAACACATTCATATAAACCCCCAAATCAATATTGAGGATTTTCTTCCAATAGTTCGTGCATCATGAACAGTGAGTGATCTGCCTGCTACAG